GTCTTGACTTCTGTAACGCGCTCTACGTGGGGCTACCCTTGAAGACGGTCCGGATACTTCAATTGGTTCAAAATAGATCTGCCAGGCTGCTGACGGGGACTGGGCATTGTGTTCACATGACTCCAGTTCTCCATCAGCTTCACTGGCTTCCCATTGAAGTCCGGGCCCAATTCAAGGTGTTGGTGATGACCTATAAAGCCCTAAATGGCTTGGGTCCTGGTTAGCTGAAGGAGCGCTTGCATCCATATATGCCCAGCCGCCCCTTGAGATCGGCGGGGGAGGCCCTTCTCCGGGAACCCTCTGTGAAAGAAATTAGGAGGGTGGGTACTTGGAGGAGGGCTTTCTCTGCGGTGGCGCCTAAGTTATGGAACGCGCTCCCCAGAGAGGTCTGCCTGGCGCCGTCGTTATTTGTTTTTCGGCGCCAGGCGAGGACCTTTTTATTCAAGCGGCATTTTACCTGTTAATATTATTGGATTTTATCTGGCCAAGGCGGCTTATTTTATACTGTATTTTTGTATTTTTAATTTAATGTTTATATTTTTTATTTATATTATAATTATTTTAACTTACTGTTGTAAGCCGCCCCGAGGCTTTGGCGAATGGGGCGGCATAAAAATGTTTTAATAAATAAATAAATAATACATAAAATCTGAATACAGTGACATGGTTTGAACCACTCCTGCAACACTTTGCCCAGTGGCTTCCTGCTTCTCTCTGGGGGTAAAAAATAATTTTCAAAAATCCCTGTTTTTTCACAGACGGTGAGGACTTGCAGTGAGTATATTGTACTTGCTGCAAGATCATTCTTCCTTAGGTTGATGGCTTGCTAACAGTCCAGAATGATTAGCTGACATCTCATCACTAACAGATGCTCTTACAGTTGTGAGTCTCTAATGAAAGCCATTGAAGCTTGTGAGACCCATTAAAGGTACGACAGGAGAGAATAAAGACTAAGAGTTGGCTCAAGCTATGCCATTTTTAAGGCGCAGTGGCTTTCTTCAGGGTCCAGACACAGGATTATCAGCTGCGTGTGCCGCTCACAGCAGTGCATTTGCTTCCACAGTTCCCTATTTGTTTATCTGCAAGTAAAGCAAATATTAAAGAAATACCTTACCTCTCCAGTATATTCCCCTACAAGAACAACAAAACACACCAGTACCAGCCCCAAATCCTCCTTGCTTGGAACTGCATAGCATGTAGTAAGAGGGTTGTGTGTATTGATTCTGTCTGTTGTTTTTGTAGGTGATAGTCTGGGGAGACTACGGCCGGATGGATCACAAGTGTTTCATGGGAGTTGCACAGATCTTGCTGGAAGAACTTGATTTGTCCAGTGTGGTAATAGGCTGGTATAAATTATTTCCACCTTCCTCCCTGGTGGATCCAACATTGACTCCTCTGACTCGCCGGGCTTCTCAGTCATCTCTGGAAAGTTCAACTGGGCCTCCTTGCATTCGGTCCTAGGAGACAGAGTAGCGGGAGCTCTCTAACACTTGTTGCCACCCAGGATGACCAGTGGGGGTAGGGGAGCAAATCACCACAATGAGGAGCACTTCCGAAAAGAGACAATCATCACTTCAATTTTGCCTGTTGTAGTTTATCCAAAAATATGTCTGAGTTGTTCATTGGAAGGGTGGTATAAACTGCCTGAACAAAGCAGTATATGAAAATACAGTCAAATCCATCTAGCAAAATGTCCCTAATGATGCTTATAATTGTAATGAGGAGGAACCTTTAAGATTAAACTAGAACCACACATTCTTCCCACAATCCTCTCATGCCATTTCCCCCCACGGAGACCACAAACAGTGTTAACTTCCTGGTGTTTCTGTATGAGTTACTTCCACTTGTTTTTGCTGTGTTGCTCAGCCAGTTTTCTAAAAGTCTTCATGATGCTAACAGAGACCCTTCCTTTCTTTTTCTAACTGAAACCAAAAAGGGCTGAAGTACATCTCTGTAAGCATCTCCCAAAAAGTGTTCATCCGCCAGAATTACCATGTGATGCCAACAGTAGTCCTGTTACCCCTGGTCTGGTTGCCCACAGTCTGAACACACGTGGCAATCAAAAATAAATGACCAATGTATGGTTTGCTTTAGCTTTTTCTTAACATATCTTGATTTTTCCATTGAATAGATTAACATTATGTGTCATGTTCCATTAAGACTTTGCATGAAGGAAATCTGCCACTGCAAACTATTGTTGAAGAATTGATAAAAAAGAGTTTGTTTTTCGTTTTGACATGGGCCATTATATTTGTTAAATGGTGTCTTACCAGACCCCATGATAAATGTCCTCACATGCACACTTGTAACCGTATAATTGACTTCCCAAATATGGCCAGAAATGGAGGTAGGATCTGACACTTTCCGCTATACCCAGGCTTCTCTGATGCACGTGTCTCTTTTTGACACACTTGACTGTCCTGGTTACAGCATGGTATAAGTTGTTCGGTTTTTCATTGGAAACGCTCGATATATTCTGCACTTACTAATGTTTCTATCGAATTTCAGTTTACATTTCTTTGAGACTGATGCAAGCACAATGCTTGGTTTTTTTTATCAAAAGTAATCTTACTTTTAGGGGGGTGGGGGAAACGTACAGTAAACAAACGAATTTGCATTTTGTTCATTTAGGTTCTTTCTTGGCCTTGAATACCCTTGTGTTTTTCTGTAAATGTGCTGAAAACTGCAGAATGTGCAGGTGCATTGAGAAGTTCTCCCTCCTTTTATGGTGATCTCACAAATAGAGCAGCATGACTTGGAACTGTTCAAAGCTGCATGCACGTTTTTTGTAAAAAAGCAAAAGGATAAAGAAAAAAAACAAAAAGAGAAAAGAAAAAGAAACAAACAAGAGATTATTTAATAATGTATGTTAGTTTCACGTAGGCCAGGCTGTATGTTGCATGTACTTGTACAGTTTGCTCGTAATTACTCTAATCAAGTAACCAAGAAATCTAAGCCATCCATTTTTCTTATAGACATTTTGCAGGTTTTAGCCAGGCTGTCAGTCAGTCTGGTGCTGAGTGTCTATAGATGGACTGTATTTTTTACCCTATGGATAACGTGACGTAGTACGGACCAAATTCCTTCTAATAAATATTTTGGTGTAGATTCCTACTGTGGGGCTGTAACACATGTAGAAACTGTGTACACAATTACGTTTTCCTTCATAGACAGAACTGCCTGCACCAAGGGAATGGAGGAGGGGGATTTAATATTGCCAGAACTCTTCTGCCCATGTTTACATGGCACATGGATGGATTCCTGCTCCGCCTGCTGAGCAGAAAGAACTGATGCATTGGTGCACTACTAGATTCTCTTCTGTCTTTTAGTGGCCAAACAAACAAACTAACAAACAAACAAATTAGAATTCGGTAGTACCTTTCTATTTTGACCACTTGTCTTAAACTTTCCCTGTGCTTTTAAAGAAACTTCCAACTCATGTTATGTAGACATGTTTAATAAAATTTCCTTTTCATGTTCAGTGTAGTTGTTTTCCATTCCATATGTGTGCAGGTGAGATGCAAAACTGCAGAGCTGCCATTTCTGGGGTCTCCCTCTTCACTACTCCAGTCTAAGGAACAATATGGCAGAAGGCCAGGAGGTGCTCCAAGAGCCACAGGAAGGTCAGGCAGCCAAGGACACAAGCCTCTTAATGGATATACTGAAAGCCAGGGCTCGGTGCAGTGTGACCTCCAGCTCTTCTTTTTTCAGATTCATGTCCTTTCTTTGTCCACCCTCCCCTGCTGTTCTTGCAAGTGTTCCCACTACTTCCCCACGGATGCAAGGTGCTACCTTTGGCCATGGTTAGCGGGTGCTTCCTTTCAGTGGTGCTGCCATCAGAACCCGCAGACTGGTGGTCCAGGATGGCCCCAGACAAGCCATGGCAGCTCCTCTTCCTCCTCTGGTCAAATCACTTGTCAAGGGAAATGGTGAGGCAACTGGCCAGGGATGGCTGCAGCCCCCTGGCATGCCATTCCACTACTTTGGGTAGCCGTAAGCTTTAGGGAAACGGGAGCAATGACCACAGAGCAGTGGCATAACGGATGCCTCTTTTCTTCTCCTGGTCCCTATTTGATGCTGCCAGTCCTCAGGGCAAACAAATATAACAAGAATCATGAAAGCAGCAGTGGAAGGGTCCTGCGCGGCACTGCCCACCCCATGGTTTCCAGTGAGGCAGGAAAGCAACTGGCCCAGTCCTCTGTCAGACCACGCACAGCTTCTGCCTCCTTTCGTCTCTCTGGAGCTGCAAGACAGTCCATGCGCACTGGCACACGCTTGACCTAAGGAAATGCTCTGATGGAGGCTGAGGTCTGAGGAAGACACACAGTTTCAAGAGGAAGCAAGGTGCAGCCACGGAAGCCAAGCAATGCATACTATGGCAGATGCAAACATCGTTTTTCAGAGATCCTGTAGGGGACAGCCACCTAGGATTGGACTAGATGCCCACAACAATAGCCCCCTTTTTTTCAAGCCCAGTATCTGTTTCAGGCTAGAAGGATCTTGCTGGTTCTGCAAGAAGAGTCAGCAGCAGCTTGGGCGTTCATGCCGTCTGGCCAGTGAGTCTTTGTTTTAGATGCACCTCTTGCTGGTCTTTCTAACAGCCATTCCCTTCTCCTCCCCTCCAACACACCTCCAAGAAAGCATCATGCAGATGTTAAGGAGGGCAACCTCCCCGTGCCACACAGTGTGACTCTTCTCTCCTTGGTCCCAGTTTTCCAAACAGAGAGAAGGAACTGGGTATTCTCCTGTGAGGCTTCTCCAATATGATATTGTTCGGGGGAAATCATTCTTTGCATAGCATTTTGTTTTTCAAGTACATGTGGTTTTAGCTTTTACTGACATTGTGGCCCCCACTCAGGGTCAAACTACACATTATGTTAATTGTATCTTTTAAAGATATTTATGTAGATATATCATAAAAAACCTAATTCTTCCAAGAAGATCTCAGTCCAGGTGAGGACTGTACTGCAAATGGTGGAGGTTAACCCTTCCTGTGCAGCATCCCTCCATCCCTTTCTTCTGCCCCACCAAAAACAAAGCAAAATAAGCACGTCCACACTTCCCTTTAAGTTACTATTGGCACTTCATTCTTTCAGAGACACCAAACTTCTTCTGGCTACACATTTAAAACCACCCTAAAGTAACTGATCTACATGGGAAAACAATAAGAGAATGCAGTTTTCCTTTGCTTGCATATCACAATACTTGTGTTCTTTTCAGCCATGACAAGATCCCCAGCGAGGCACATAAGACATTATTATTTTTTTAAAAAGCTATATATTCAATGAAATAATGTAATTTATTGTCATCAGCACTGAAGGTTGCCCGATAGCATCATCACCACCACCACCACCACTTGATTGTATCCTAGTTTCTGCTCCTGTGAACAGCCCAGGGCAGTTTGCATGATCCTCCTCCTCCTCTCCCTGTTATCCTCACAACAAACCTGCCAGGTACGTTAGGCAGAGAGCCATGGACTAGTCCAAAGTCAGGTGGTGAGACTCCTGTCTGAGTGGAGACTGAAGCCTGGAGCTCACGGGTCCTAGTCCAGCCCTCTGAGCACCGTGCCACACTGACTATGCCACATGAGAGCTGTTTCCTGAACTGGGGAAAGGGGAGGAGGAAGAAGATACAGATGAAGAGTCAGCAGCAGCTAGTGCACTGCACCATTTGTGAATTGTGCTTTTCCCTAAAAATACCGAGAAATAGCTCCAAGGAAGAAAAGATGAAGCTCTACTCACGCATATTTTGCAATCAAAGCTATGGTCGTTGTAAATTGCCATAATTAGTAGATGACATGGCATGCAGGCCTTTTTGACTATGGTGTCAGTTCCCAAGTTAAAACATAGAAACTGAGCAAGTCAGAAGGGGTCTCCCGGGCCATCTAGTCTGACCCCAGGCTCCAGCTGGCTCCACTCATGACATGTCCACCATGTGCATGTCCAGCCTATCCTTGAATACCCTCACTGATAGGGCCTCCACCACCTCCATTCCATATCCCATAAACAAGCAAGCAATCACACAAAGGAGTCCTAGTTGTGTTGTTGAATTTTACATTCCCTTTCCCTGAAGAGTTTTCAGCAAGATATGCCACACAACTTTCAAATTTCTGGGCATTCAAATGTGTGTGTGTGTGTGTGTGCACGCGCGCACAGTGACTACACAGTGTTCCATGTGTAGAAGCATTCCTGAGGCTTGCCATAATATAGAGCCAGTGATAATGATTCCGCAAATTTCAAATATATTAAGAGACACTTCTTTTCTAGGTTTTCAGAAAAACTGCCTTCTCAGTTCACATAGTTACAGGGAGTACATTTCAAATCTGAATTCTTCTGTATCCTTTATTTTAATGGAAGATATCTGGGAAGTCTACTTTATTTCAATATATTGTTCAATGCCATGCCATGGAGAGCTGTCCTGAGCCTCAGGAAGAAACATAGAAACAAAAGTGAGTCAGAAGG